GCATGCTTGTCTCAGAATTCACCGTGTCACACATCTTACCTAAACTTTGTTTTTTGGCATCTCCAATTTTTATCCTATATAATCATTTGTATGAATATTTTTCCTTCTACTATACTTCAAGCTCTCTGGAACACACTTAGTATCTGACTCACTTCTGTATCTGCTACAATGGCTAGCAAAATCTTACATAAAGTAAATACTTAGTCAATTTTGCTGAACAAATTGATAAATGACTCATGGACCTGTGCTCTCACAATCATCTATTTCTATAACCTATGATGAGATTTCAATGACATTTAGTACATATATGGGCATTTAAAAAATAACAGCAACTTTTGGGTCCTCTAACATGACTGGTTTGGAGTTGCGGATCTCAAAAGCCACCCAATGGACCTATTTGTTATAAGAAAAACCCTACATATTTACATATCACCTATGTACATTTCTTCAAATTACCCAATTGTCATGAAGATCAAATGAGATGGAAGAAGTAAAGACCCTTCGGAAAGGCCAGTGAAGGCACATGTCCAGAAAGCTGGCAGCACTTGCCCCATTTTAGTGGCCTGGGTGGCTCTTAGGGCTTGCGATGTGAAGCCATGCCAGCCGCCATAGGCATCCATGTAACCATTCTATAGATATTATCACCTTTATTGTCGGTGCTGAGGACACAGCTGTGAACACAACCAACAAAAATGGTTGTCTTACGTAGGTTACATTCTCATGAGGTAAGGGGTGATAAGCAAATGAACACATACACGTGTAGAGTGGCAGATGGTGAGAACCGATGTGGGGAATGGAGCAGGGGAGGCTGGATGAATGGGGAAGTGAGGGGATGGCATGGGCAGGGGCTGAGGAGGTGCAAAGGCCTGTGCAGAGAGCTCAGTCAAGGGCGTTCAAATAGAAGGGGCAGCGCTGGCCACCATCCCACAGTAGGTGAGCTTGGAATGTCAGAGGAATAGCAAGGGGGTCACTGTGGAGGCCTGGCGAGGAGGGACAGGAGGGGAGGGTGAAGGAGGTGAGCTCAGGTGAGACTGCAGGGCCTGTGGGACTTTGGCACTCACTCTGGGCAAGTCAGGGAAGCCTTGGAGGGTCCTGAGCAGGTCAGGGACATGATCTGACTTGGCTGTTCAGAGGGTCATTTGAATATTGTGTTAGGGCCAGGCCGTGACGGGTGGAGGCAGAGACTCCTGCGGGAGGCTGCCTCCATCATCCAGGCCAGGGGTGAGGGCAGCCAGCACTGAGCTGAGTGTGCAGGTGGTAGGAGACAAAGTCTGGATATGTTTGGAAGATAAAGCTCATAGTGTTTTCTGGTGGACTGTATGCAAAGAGTGAGAAAAATAAGTCCAAGATTTTGGGCCTGAGAAGCTGGAAGGATGCTAGCATTTAGCGATCTGAGAAAGACTTTGGGAAGACTAAGAGTTCTGCTGTGGGTCTTGCTAAGTGCAAGACATGTATTAGCTATTCAGACAGGAGAGAAACAGAGTCGGCAGGTAGGGACACAAGTCTGAAGTTTGGGAAAAAGGTCTGAGCTGACGACATACAAGTGGTGGTTTATACATAGATGATATTCAACACCAGGAGTCTGGACGTGTTAACTAGGGAGTAAGCGCAGACAGAGGAGAGGTCTCAGGATCTACCCCTGGAGCTTCCCAATGTTAAGAGGGTGAGAAGATGAGACAGAAGTCAGCAAAGGATTCCAAGAAGAAGAAGCAAGTGAATGAAAGGCAGAGCTAAGAAAGAACACTGTTCCACGGGCCAAGGGCAATAATGACTCAAAGACAAGGAGGGATCAGCTGCATCCAAAGCTGCCAACAGGTCACATAACATGGCCCTGGAGGACGGAGCACTGGGTGCAGTGACGGCCATCACTGATGGTCTGGACAGATGTTTTGGTGCAGCAGTGGGAGAGAAAGCCCGATCGAGTGGATTCAAGAGAGAATGGGAGGACAAGAATCACAGACAACGGGTAGAGGCAACTCTTGAGGAGTTTTGCTGAAATACAGAAGGAGATTACCTATGGCTATGAGAAGCAGAAGAAGAAGACATTGGTCTAGGTTTGTAGTCAGGGGAGATACTGCTGACATCTTTGCAGATGACATCAACCACACTGGTACAGTGTCCTGATCCATCATGGTCTGCATGCTTCACTGTTTCAAAAGCTGCACAGACACTATTCCAGCAAGAAAGGGCAGAAGGCTGGATGAGCTGAGGAAGAGTCACCATCTTACTGGTGACCTGCAGGAAACCAGACACAGTTGTTGCCCCTGTGCATAAGCAGGGAGCAACCTGCAAGGCACCCACAACAGCAAAACCACCTCAGTGTCGTCATCTCTGATGACAAAAATATTTTCCTGGACTGCATGGCAGGTCACATGAGGGCCTTGCATTTGATGCCTTCATCTTCCTGAGAGAATTCCTAGGAGTATTACTGCTTCTTGACCACTACAAGATACATCTATCTTCCTTAAGTGCAGATGGAGACAGGGCTCCATCCTCGGGAAGTTTTCTCTGTGGTGGAACCCAAGTGACTGGATCTAATCTAATTCTCCCTTTTAATGCACTGTGGCATGAGTGGCTCTCAACCATATTCATCTCTAATTAAGAATCTCTGTACTAGAGCAATTACTGTAGCTACTGCTGTTGATAACAATCATCTCCTCAGTCTCTTTGTGGTAGGCTGCTATGTGTTCTCAATCGTTCACCCATGCTTCTCTGCAGGTACAGTGCACTTCTTGGCCCTGTTACCTTTGAGGGTGCCCATGTGACTTGCTTTGGCCGGTAGAATGTGAACAGCTAAGATGCAAGCCATATTTAAGCATAAGCCTTAAGTTGATGGTGTGGTTTGGCTCTAGGCCCCATTTTGTGAGCATCTGCCCTCAGCCATGAGAACCACAAGGCCTACCACCAAAGGTAAGGGTTCCTCCGACCTGGGCTCCAGAGCTGGATGGCACGCAGAATGTGGTCAAGCCCAGAGCCCAGCTGCGTGCAGAAGAGCTGCAGCTGACCGCTACCCTCAGGCACCATGAGCCAGGTATAAATGTTGCTGGTTGTAGGCCATGGAGAGTTTGGGATTGTTTATTCCCACAGCAAAACCTGACTGATACACTCTTTTATTAGACGGTCAAATTTCCCTAGTGAAAACACCATGCTTGTTCTTTATGATATGCCCTAACACCCCTAATACAAATTGCAGGCCCCTGAGAAGTACATAGGTAAAAGGCTAAGGGTCATTGCGTCTATTCTGCTTGGTTGGCTGGCGTCTAGCATTAACTCCTAGTTCCTATCACTGACACACCGGCAGTACTATTACAGGCTTCTTAAAGTCATGTTCAACGTCACTGCCATCCTCCCTTCCTACTTCCTGATTTTGGGTATTGAGTTATGGCTGATTGACAAAGAAAACCCAAATAATTTAGGCTTCAAAACGAAATGGGTCCTGGCCGTGATATATGCAGTTTCTATTCCTAAGTACACCCAAATGGTTAAGACTGAGTAGAGAAAGTCTGCTTTAATTGTGCTTGTGTGACTCAGCTTTGTGTGCCCTTTGAGCCTAACATAGGCCAAAAGCTTTGCCCAGGGAGTCCCACTACAAAGAAAACAAACTCTTGCTTTTGCTTATTCAGTAAGTTCCCCTTACTTATTTAGAGACTGAATTAGGTATTGTGCAGGATTCAGAGGCAACAGAAGGCACGGTTCTGGGTTTTAAGGGGCTTATAGTATAGTTTAAGAGACAGGATATACGTGTGAATATCCAAGACCATCAAGAGATATATACCATTTAATTCTTTAAAAGAGGCAGTGCTGTATGGTAGGGAAGAGAGCTGGTCTAGAAATCAGGAGACCTGATTCTAGTCTTGCCTCTGCTGCTAGATTAAAATCATAGGAAGATCTTTTCACTATACTGTGCATGAACAAAAAATAAACTGGTTAATATAAAGTCCCTCACATTTCCATGGGTTCATGACGCCAAGAGATCCCAGCCAGCAGCACACAGGTAACCAAGCGCTCAGTGCAAGGCATGGGTAGGAGAGGCCGTGCATTCGGAGGACCTCCGTCTACCTGTCCTTCAGCCCAGCTCCAGCTCATCTGGTCCTAGCCTAGTCTGAGGGGTCTCCTATGTCTTGAGTCATGAGCCAAATCTACTCGAGCTGAACTGAAAGTAAAATTTAAGCAAGTGAGTCCAGAATTGTTCTCAGATATCACAAACTGAAGAAGGAAGAGTAGGAGTTCTAAAGCTGACTGAGCCTCCAGGAGTACCTTGGGCTGGGGTTTGCTGGAGCCTCCCCAGGAGGCCTGAAGCCACTGTGTTCAGTACCTGGGGTGCATCCATAATGGGCCAGGCTTCTGGAGGAGTGGCAGAAGAGGCATTGTCCATGAGATTGACATCAGGATAGGCAAGACCTCTCCAAACCCTTCCCCTGATTCAGAGAGCTGAACACCCTCCTCTCTTTGGGAAGAATCAATTCTCACAATGACAGGCATGATGTCCCCAGTGGGGGTCCTGAGGCCTGGGCTGCTCCATTTGACAGGAAAGTGAGAAAGGTCAAAATAGAACTTTTAGAACATCAATTGATGCTTTCCTGATTGTTCTTTGGAAAAATACAGTAAGTAGAGATAATTTCATTGGCTAAAGTGCTCTGGAGCTTCGAGGATGAGCCACCTGGCTCTTCTGCTGCAAATGTATTTAAATCCCCAGCGCAGGGCCTCCAGGGTGGCTCAGAGGGCCATGGGATTGCTTCCTTCCAGTAGTATTCCTGTAGCTGAGTGACTGTGGTGAACTTTCTCCTGGAGTTTCCAGGAGCTGGGACCACAGCCTGTTTTAAGGTACTTACATCAGAATTGGGTTCTTCAGATCAAAGGAACTCATTTTACAACAAAAACAAAAACCCCTCCGTTTACATGGAATCAGGTCCCTTTGGAGAGTGTTCCTGGCAATTCAGCAAAGGACAGCAGAAGGTGGTGAGGAGATAACACTGTATAGAAGAACAGGCTTCACTTACTTGGGACTCCAGACACCAGCCGCAGGGGACGCAGCACGCGGAAGGCCCTCAGCGCCTTCACATCAAATCCGGCCCCTTTCCCTCCAAGAGCGTTTGCCCCATCTGCTTTGGTGGCTTGTTCTAAAATTGCACTAAAAAGCCTAGAGGAGAGGAAAGAGAGAAGGACTGTCAGGGCGGGGCTTCGGTGCCCAGCTGGGGCTCTGACCTCTGGATGCAGCCTGGAAAAGCAGATTGCGTAGGTGTCTCCAGCCCAGGAGCAGGCGCTGTGGGTGTGTGTGGCGGCATGTGGGTGTTTGTAAACTGACATCCCCAGTATGGGTGGTGGCCATGCCGAGGGGGTTACCATGGCCCAAGGAGGCCTGAGCGGGCTGAGGGTCAGGCCCTCTGCCGTCATAAAGGCATGAGCCGGACAGGTGCTGGACGAAAGTGGGAAACAGCTGAAGCCGTCAGTCCTCCTCTCCTTGAGGAGCCCTCTGCCCTCTCCACAGCATCCTCGCACCCCACCCAGGGGTGCCAGTAACCACATGCTCTCTTTCCCTGCCCACCCACCTTCCCTCTCTTTGACTAGCTCCTGGCCCATGGAAACCTGCTTCATGCTGGCCTTGGCGGCTGCTCAGGAGACATGTGCTGCACGAATGAATGAATGGTCGAGTGGTTAAACAGGAAGGGCTCAAGTGGGGCAAAACCACGTGTGCATGTAACTGAGATGCAGGGCGAAAAGCCCTGTCCCTTTAGGTTTGTGCTGGCACGTTCACTCCTCCAACAAACAAGAACACCTGCAGCTCTCCGGCAGGGTTCTAGACAATTGGGCTATAGCAAAACAGAGAAAGCCCTTCCCCTCAAGGAGCTTACATTCCCGCAGGGAGACAGACAATAAACTGAGCAATCAGTAAACAGATACTGCAGCTTAGAGTGATGAGTGCTGAGGAGGAGGAACAGGGAGGGGCTCTGCAGAGACTGGGTGGGGGCCGCCTTCCTTCCCACAAGAGAAGTCTGCACAAAAAACTCTGCAGATGATCCCTGCGCAGAGGCCTATGGGAAGTGAGAGCGGGACCCACCTAGCTATCTGGAGACTGTTCCAGGCACAGGAAGCAGGACAGCAGGGGCCCGAGGGAGGAGCAGGGTGTGCGTTAGAACAACAGCAACCAGCGTGGCTGGAGCAGGGCAGGGAAGGGGAGAACCGTGGGAAAGAAAGTCGGTGAGGAAACAGGGAACCCCACCGGGTGCTTGGTTTCCTCTCTGAGTCAGAAGCCACTGGGGGACTTTGAGCAGGAGAGTGACATGATCTAACTACAGGTCTAAAAGAATCACTCTGCTGTTGTGGGAAATTTGCCTGTCAGGGGCGAGGCCAGAGACCAGCTGCTGCAGACGCTGGTGGCTCAGAACATGTGGTGGTGTTGGAGGTAGTGAGGAAAAGGTGGATATCAGATTCATCTTAAGATAAAACTGGTGGCACTGGCTGATGGACTAGATGTGAGGTGTGAGAAAGAGAGGGTAATCAGAGAAGATTCCAACAGTTTGGGCGTGAGCAACAGAAAGGATGAGATACGGTGGAATGGATATCAAGGGTTCTGCTGAGAACTTGAAATCTGAGCTGTTGCTTGGACATCAAATGCATGTCTTGAGTTGGTTCTGTGTCTGGAGGTTAGTGGGGAGGTCCAAGCTAGAGACAAAAGTGCAATAGTTGGATAGTTCATATTTAAAGTCAAATTGTATGTGACTACATAGGAAGCCAGCGCAGAAGGTGAGGATGTGAAAGGACTCAACCCTGCAGTGCTCCCACATGGAGGGGGCAAGAGAGGAGAGAGCAACAAGAAAAATGGATGAGGGATGGCTTGCAGAGCAGGATACATGGAGAGAATGGCACCACATGAAGAGAGTGGCCAGTGAACAGGCGGTGGTGTCACATGCTGCAGGGGCATGGCTGAACACTGACCGCTGGCTCTCGCAACATGAAGACCATCCAGACCTTGAAGGCATCTGTGCTGGTGGAGTGATGCGGACAAAGCCCAGCAGACACAGGTTCAAGAGAGTATGGGAGGAGTTGGAGACGGTGAGGATGGACAGCCCTAGCCAACAGAAAGATGATGCAAGCCACGAGTGTGAGCTGCATGTGTAATTTACCTTTGCCAGTAGCCACATGGAAAAGTAAAAGCAATGAAATTGACAGTGATCATAGATTTTATTTAACCCAATATAGTCAAAATATCATCATCTCGACATGAAATAAATATAAAAAAGTGTTCATGAGACATTTGTCATTCCTTGTTATGTACTAAATTATCTTTGAAATATGCTGTATATTTTATACTTATTATTATTGCAATTCAGATTAGCCACACTTCAAGTACTGAATGGCCACATGTGGCTACCATATAGACAACTCTTTTGAGAAATTTTGGTCTAAGTGACCAGAGAAAAAAGGGGGGCTACTAGAAGTGGGTGTGGAGTCAAGAGGGTTTTGTTTTTTGAATGGGAGATAGGACAGCATTTTTCCATGTGTTGGGACTCATCTAACAGAGGCGGAGATGTGAAGACACAGAAGCAAGAAGGAACCGTTGCTGGTAGGACAGAGCCCCTTCACTGGCAAGAGGCAGTCGGTGCACATGAAGGGTGTCCAGCTGTGCAGGGGCAGGGCTGTGTGTCGTGGTTCAGTAAGAAGGCACATTGTCAGCATAGACACATGGTTGTGGGAACATATGAAATTTCCCTTCTGATTGCATCTTTCTCAGAGAACTGGGGAACAGGGCCATTGGCCGAAAATGGGAAAGGGGAAGGAGATGGGAAGTTTAAAGAGAGAGGCAAGGGTGCTGAAAGTTATCTCAAAAAGCAGAGGGTGAACGGAGTGGGGACAAAGCAGGAGGGCCCTCAGGTATCACCAAGGGCCTGTTGGAGGTTGGAGGTCACGAGTGTAAAGTGAGACCCTGCTCAGCTTTGCAGATTTCTTGACCCTTTCCAGGTACCGAGCAGATCTCCAGTTGGTTGGACTTGATTAGGGTTGGTGTTTTTCCAGGTGTGCAAGATAAACAGAGAGAAGACTAAGAAAGCTGAGTATAAATGCAAGTGAGTGAGTGCAGCAGTGGCGCATGGCGTCTGAGCTTGCTGGAAGGAGGGTGGACATGGGGACAGGGATGAAGCATGTGGTAGGATAAAGGGACCATGGGAGTCAGGGTGAGAGAGGGAGGGGACTGGAAAGATGGTGGTGCTGGTTAGACAGCAGGATGTTAGATTCTGGATTATGGGGAGGTGTTATCAGTGGTGACAGGGATATTGGCTATATGCATGGGAGTGGGCCTATTGAAATAGGCTCCCCAGAAGGCAGATACCCAGGAACCAAGAAGCTACTGGAGGGAAAATGGAGAAGTGAGGTTAGAGTGAGGTAGAGGGAGCCAAGAACCCACATCCTCAAGGCACAAGGAGGGGTGACTCAAAGGTCTGCAGAAGGCTGTGGTAAAGAGGAGAAGTAAGGCATAGAGGGTCTGGATGACACAAATGTCAAAACTGGACGGCTCCGGGGGGAGGGGGCAGTGGAGCAGAAATAAGGAGCTGGCAGGGCCCCCTCAGACCTAGCAACCTGGTGCGGTGGAAGGCGGCTTCTGAGAGAGGAAGTGCAGGGAAAGCTGTGCCCAGGGGAGAATCAGGAAGTGACCACAAGGAAGCTGAGAACTGGGCCCCTGTTTAATAAATAAAGTTTTGTGGGACTTCAGCTACACCCACTGATGGAGAAGCTGCTCTTGTCCTGCTGCTGGGCAGGGTGGAGTGGCTGGAACAGAGACTGCATGGCTCACAAAGATGAAGACAGCATCTGGTCCTTACAGAAAAGTTGGCTGACCCTGAACAGGCAGGGTACTATGGGAATCGGAGGACACAGTGGGAAGGTTTCCACAGTGGGGTGGTAAGAAAGGAGGGCTGAGATCAGAGGATGCGCAGAGCCACATGGGAACAGAAGTACTGGTGACGAGGGATGGCCCAAGAATTTGGGGCATTTCACAGTGACTGAGAAAAATAGGGAAAAGTGTGTGCAGGGCGTCCTGTGTGATGGGAAATTTATACCTTTATACCCAGAGGGTACGCTATGGATTCATTGCCAGCAGAGTGCAGTGCACGCTGGGTCATGTTTCTTCAATAGTGGGGCCTGGGATCAAGGAGGGAGCCCAGGTATTAGGAGTGGGTCCCCATATCACATCTGAACTGTGAGACAGGGCAACTTTCATTCAGGAGCAACAGGCTTGAATTCTTAAGTAACTTATGCTCAGGTAACTGGATCTAGAAATGGGAGGCTGCAGCTGGGAGATTAGCCAGAAGCATTAGCAGAAGCTCAGGGCCAAGCAGGGCTGAGTTGTGAGGGGATTGGCCTAGAAACGGAGCTCTGTGGAGGCCCCCAGGCGCTGAGTGGCTGAGTGACTGGGGTTCTGGCTCCTCTAGTCCAGAGCAGCTCCCCTTCTATCTGGTCTGTATATTGGACCTCTGAGTGAGACTCTGACAGTGGACTCCATAGCTAAATGAAGTTTCACAACCCTGCTCAGGCTGTATCTGCAGTGTCTCCCAGCCTGGCAACTTGATGGCTCCTGATGTTGGCTGGCGAGGCCTTGAAACCTAGGCAGAAGTTGCCAGGATGGGGGGAGTGCGCTCCTTTCTCCACAAGGGAAACACTCTTTCCATTGAAGCCCAGATCACTGAAACCTGGGGAAATGAAGACCAGTTTGCAAATTTGTCAAACGACATTTCCAAATGCAAACCAGATTTTGTTCCCAGTGTTTCCTGGAAGAAAGCAACATGCTCATCAGAGTAAAAGATGTTCACCCAATAGTATTCAGCGAAGGGAGTGGAGCTTAGACAACTTTCCTTTAACTCCTGCCTCAAGTTGAGACTCTTTATTAAGTATCTGCTTTTAATTTTGAAGGGACAGAAAATTCAAACATGGGTGTGGGAGTGGCTGCTGTACTTCTCCTCAATGAAACATTCTGAAGGCGAAACCACTGTTCGGTGCCCACTGGTCCCTAAGGGCTGGCCTCTGACGTGGATGCCTGGCCAGAGGATTGCTTTTGGAGGTGTGTTTGGCAGATCTGTAGCCAGGCAGTGGAGCTTTTAGAAGAAAAGGATTGTGAGGCTGTAGAATGATCATGAGCCCAGAGAATGCAAAAGGCAGGGCCACCACCCTGCTGGGGAGGCAGGGATGCAATCAAGCCTCACTATCTGGCATGGAACCTCCTTAGCAGAAGATCCACTGAGGAGTCTGTGGTCCCTGGGGAGGGGGAGGTAGATCTGAGGCTGCCACAGTCCCTCCATGTTTATTCAGCAATCCCACCACCAAGGGTCCTCTGCTTTAGGAAGGAAATAAATGCTACTTGTCATTCATGTGCCACCAGAATAGCAATGTAGAGATGAGACTCTCAGCCTGGCACTCAGGCAGGCAGGTCCACCTTTCTCCAGGGTGTCAGCCCCCACCCAGCTTTGTAGGAGGCCATGAGAAACCTTCCCCTACAGCTACAGAGAAGGGGCCAAGGATAGCAGATATTTCCATATTTCCCAAGAGACACAGGGAAGCAAAGGGGCACCCATTTAATATTGCAAAGGAAGTAGGAAAAGGAGGTGGGCCGAAGAGAGGTGGTGAGCTGCACCCACCAGTGATGGGGGATCACTACAAGGATGGGCTGCTTTAGACAGGATGAAGAGCCCTTAGGAGAAGAGAAACTAGGTGCCAAATATGGCCCAGTGCAAGACCAACCACGAGCTGGGGAACTGCTGGCATCATGAACTCTGTGGCCCAGAAACAGGAGGAGACATCTGGACGCCTCCCTCCCTTCATCAGCCTCATGGCCTAGACCCCAGGGGGATGCAACTGGAATCAGGGCTGACCCCCCAAAAAAGTCTGGCTGCCTCCGGTTGTGGGGAGGAGTCTAAGGGATGAAGCCGGGTCTAGACAGGCTGCAGGTGAGGCACCAAATGTGGCCCAGAGATGCTCCACTGCACTCCCTCCCTGTGCAACCCAGGCAGGGCCCCCCACTCCTAGGGTTCCTGCTTGGTACCTATATTTCTTGTCTCTGTTCCCCTGACTCATGATTTAAGTAAGACCACATATGGGGCAAAGCACATATAATCCACTGCAACTCAATCCAAAATTCCAAAATTTTGCCTAAACAAATTTCTTCCCTGCAAATCACCCTCATCCCTCCGTTTGTCCAAGAAGCATCTGCTCTCATTCCCGAGGCTCTTTTCTATGTATGTGCAAAAGGCTCCCAGAAGACTGAGGCCTGGAGAAAGATGCTGAATTCTAAAAAGGACTTAGGGGCCTTTGGAACAACCCACCTTAAGGACTCTTGCTGTGGTTTACTGCAGTGTTCAAGGCACATGTTTAGCCACTCCTTGTATATTCTGGCATGAGAAGCAGCAGCAAAATCTGCATGCACACTCCAAGTGTCCCGCGCCAGAGCTAGACCTGGATAATAATGCTAATAACCTTAGTGCCCGTCGTATCACCCAAATACCCCTGAGGTTCATGTGGCCACAGTGCATCATTCACTGGTCAGGGAACAAAATTTTAAAAACCCAATGTGTTTCCAAACAACGTTATGAGCCATCCAGATGGCCAGAGATGAGGACATAACTTGCAAATGATCTCGATGTCCTCCTGCGTTACTTCCTGCAGTAAAGACCAGGCACTCCCACAAGATGGTGAATGGCGGGTGCTCTGGAGACGTCCACAATGGCTGTGTCTCCTCCGGGATGGCACAAAAGGATCCTCCAAAAATAGGCTTCTGGGATAAAGAGTTCCTGACATTCTGACCTTGACTCTGCAGACTGCCAGGACTCCAAGGGAGGGAGAGTCCAAGGTGGCAGCCACTTGAGCACTCACTGGGGTCAGAGTAACAAGGGACTAGCCCAAAGCAGCCGGCTTGTTCTCCAGGTAAAATCTGCTGCAGTGGGCTCCATCCTATTACAAGACAGATGTGTTATTGGACCTTCATCAACTGTGTTTTAATAAATTACACTTCACCAGTGTACGTAGGCCTGTTAGGTACAAATATTTTATGGAGAAACTTTTTGTGAGGTTACCAACTTATGTAGAAGGAGATCAGTTCTACATTTTATTCAAGATTCTCTGTGTTGCGGTTTTGAAAGCTTAGACTGACTCTACCTTATCTTATGCTATACTGGAGCAAGGTGTTTGGGGGAAGCAGCATTTGATTGGGGTTTGCTTACCTGTCATCTTGGCCTTTCATAGTTCCCTGTCTCCTTCTCATCCACCTGTCTTGAGCAGGCTGGTTTCTTGGGGCCATAGAACCAGGCCCCCTATAGAGTGAGGATGGGGATGAGGCCTCTGTATGAGTCCAGAGCACAGGCACAGCCCATGCACCCCCACCATCACCCCACACCTATAGGCTGCATGCTCACTGCTGAGCTGCCGCAAATGTGCTCAGCGAGACAGCAGGGAAACTGTCAGAGGAACTGCAGGGCCAGATGTGGTCTGAGATGAAATGAAAGTCCTTACGCAGGGGGCTCTCCTTAGCAGCACAGAGCAGTCTGGGTTCCATTAGGAGCACTCAGGTCCACCCATGTGTGCATGCCTCTGTGGGAGCAGGGGAGAGGAGTGCTCTTGGGTCATAGCCCCTGTCCCTCTAAGGGGAGTCTGAAATCAAAGTGATTTTCATGTATCATTTCTTCTTGCCTGAAGCCCAGCACAATTAGAACGAAACGAAAAGAGATAATACAGAAGGAAGAAGAGGGATGTACTTTTGAGACAGCCAGGTGGGAAGGGGTCCCCAGAGAAACTCCAGCCAGCCTGCACACTGGGAGGAGTGCACACTGGGGTGGGGCCACAGAAGTTCACCCCCTTTGCAGCAGGGAGAAGCCTGACCCCTCCTTTTCCTGGGTGGAACCTGGGATTCAATCTGCAGGCGGGAAGCCCGTGGGCAGGAAGCATACTCTCACTTTGCTAAGAGTCCCTGTTTCCCTTTCTGTTCCTTTTTGCAAAATAAATCTCATTTTTCTCACTCTCCAAATCATCTGCGAGCCTAAATTTTTGTGGCTGTGTGACAAGGACTCCGTCTTCAGCTAAACTAAGGAAAAGTCCTGCAACACTAGTAAGGTAAAGGGAAAGAGATAGGCAGTGATACTCACCCCACAACCACAATTATAAAATCTAGGAGATTCCAGCCGTTGCGGAGGTAGGCATTGGGGTGAAAGAGGAGTCCATAGGCGATTACTTTTAAAAATGCTTCCACCGTAAAAATTATGAGAAAGAGATATTCCACTCGTTCCTAGGAAACAAAAATAGAAAAGAGAGAAAAATAAGTCATTAGGTTGGGGATTTAGAAAGTTCGGAACCAGCAGATCTCACAAGTAGTTGGAAGAAAATGCTGCCCCCTCTGTCGTGGGACCAAATGGGGACACTCAGGCCAAATTAGCAACTCCACAGCCTGTTGTGCCGTGACAGCACCAAGCTACTGGGGATTACAGGATTTTTATTTTTGCTTCAAAGGTCCCCCATTTAAATGTAAACATCAGACTGGTGGAAAAATTATATATTTTTCAAAATATTTTATTTAATCAGTTGACATTTTATTGTGCCACCCCAGAAGAGAATTCATCTAAAGGGAAACAATGTCAGGGCAAAAAGAGAACAAGCTAAAGCAGAGCTCCTGGAAAATTGTGCCACAACTTCAGGAACAAGCCCTGAAGACAGCGGACTTGGTTTTGGGGAGTGTACTAGCTGAGCTCCTCCAAAAGACAGAGGGAAAACGCAGCTGCAAAGAAATGGAGATGGTGAAGAACCCTTTAGAGCAACACGAACAGAGGCAACTTGCTTACATACACTCATCCAGAAATGTGAAATCTCTTTCTTGAGAAAATAAAACCTTCTGTCCAAAGACATAGAACAGTTCAGCAAAGAAAATCAGCATTTTGAGGATGGAGGCAGGCACTGGGTGGGGTGCAGAATGGAAAGAGCCCCTCTCTTTCCTCGAGGGGCAGAGGACAGTCTTCTTCATCCCCTGCCACCTTGAAGAAGGGCTTTGCATTTAAGGATGCAGCTCCCATCCCTGGGAGCCCAGTGTGAACAGGACAAATTCGTTGACTCAATTAGAGCGAGCCAACTCTGTGCTGATTCATGCACTTCCCTCACCATTAATTGCTTTCTCCCACACTCCCATCCCAAGTGCAGAGCCTTAATGGCCTCCACCAGGCAAAGGCTGCCTGGATGTCTTCATGCTCCACTGCTCACCTCTGCAGAAGCCTCAGCTATCCCTCACTGGAGCCATGAAACACCCATCCACATTGCATTTGGGCACAGGCCCTCCGGAGTGGGGTGGGCCTATTCACAGTCCCCAGTGGGCACTTGGCTTAGAACCTCTAGACCCATTTTCCCCTCCTCTGCCAGGTCAGAAGGAGCTCTGGTATGTGCATATGGGAGCAGTAGTGAGGGGGTGCTCCAGGCTCACCCACTTTCTGAAGGAGGGGTGTTGCCCACAAAGGTCCACCTCCTCCTGCCTGGCCAGCTGGGATGGTCCTCCAAAGCAGGGCCATCAGGCCATACCAGTACCCTGAGCTCCCATTCACTCCATCACAATCTCCTGGGCATGTAGGGAGTGCCAGCCTCACTGTGAGGCAGTTTGAGGATGCAAAGTTAAAAACTATATAATTCTGGGTCCTACCCAGACCAACCGAAATAGATCTTCTGGCTGCAAAGTCTGGAAATGTGCATTGTAGACAACTTCCAGGTGTTTCTGAGGTACCCTGAAGAACCACTGGCTCCTATGCTGATGAAGGCCCAGATCATGCAGAGGCAGTGGGAAGGGAGTACAGGGGTCAGAATTAATCAATATCTCAGACGCAGACTCGTCCTTCCCTTCCTGCCCATTTTTGGGCCACGCAATTGGTCTAGGGAGGCAGCTGTCTTGGAGTTGTGACCCAGGAACAAATCACAGTGTGTGGGAAGCTCCAATCTTTTAAAGTCAAATGATGTTGGGTTAAAATGTACACTAGGGCAGTGCTGAAGAAGAAAACATGAGACAAAACAGCACAGGAGAACCTAAGAATGTTTGTGGGAATGGGAATGGAGGTGCTGTCACACAGCCACTCAGCCCATCTCCTCATCCCCAACACATGTTGGTTCAGAGCTTTCATGTCTGCCACCAGATGACAGGGCCAACTCTTTCTGCATTCTGAGACAGTTGAAGCTGAGATGAGAAAGAAAGGAAAGGAAAGGGGAAAAGGGAACAAACACAAGTTGGGTATCCATTGGGTGACAGGTGCTTTCATATGTGCTAGTTGCTTTCACACTTTCACTCACCTGCCCACCCATCCATCCATCCACCTACCCATCCATCCATCCATCCATCCATCCATCCATCCACCCATTCACTGATCCATTCATCCATCTTCCCATGCACTTACCAATCCACCCACCCTCCCACCTACCCACCCACTACTCATACATTCATCCATCCATTCACCCACCTGTCCATCCACCCATCAGTCTACTATCTTTCCACCCCTGCACTATCTTTCCACCTACTCACCTATCCATTAATCCATCCACCCACCCACCCACCCACCCACTCTCAAACCAGCCAGCCAGCCAGCCACCCACCCATTCATCAATCCATCCATTCACCCACCTGTCCATCCATCCATCCATTCACCTATCTGTCCATCCATCGATCCATCCATCCACGCACTGACCCACCCATCCATCCATCTGTCAGTCCACCCACCCACTCATTCATCTACCCATCCAGACACCCACTCATCCACCCATCCACCCATACATATATACTTACTCACCATCCATCCATCCATCCATCCATCCATCTATACATCCACCCACCCACCCACCTATATATATCCATCCATCCATCCATTCATCCACCCATCCACCCACCTATCTATATATTTATTCACCCATCTATCCATCTACCCATTCATCCATTCACCCACCCACTCATTCATCTACCTGATCATCCGTCTACTCATCTACTCACCCACCATCTACCCACTCAGCCATCCATCCATCCACCCATCTGTCCCCTCAGTCATTCATGATCAGTGTGGCACAACTTGTTGGATTGTCATAAAGTGACCCTGTAGCTCACTCTGGGTTGTCTAGATAATGAGCCCTCCAGAAGAGGTGGCACTCAAGCACAGAGCCCCTCTCCCCTCCTGGCAGAGACAGCAGCAATATCCTGAAGGCTCTGAGGGCCCTATGCGCTGGGAAACGAATTCCCAGACAACCCCTGTAAACAGCTGGCACCCCTAGTCCAGACTGCCCAGTACCAAGCAGTCTGCTTATTCCCTCATTGATAGGCTGCTTTCTCTTGCTTAATTTCCCTATAAAAAGAGAGAGTCATGGGGTTGGAGGGTGTAGTGGGGGTCCTCCACTAGGCCCAGCAGCATCCTGGACCTGGCATATCTCTTTTTGAGATGGAAGGGTTGGGGGATGTGACTTCTCTTCTTGGCCTTTGGCCTTGGCAAATTCTCCCAATAAAGCCTACTCCTTGATCCATGCCACGTAACATATGTCCCGCACCCTGGCATAGAACATGTAGAGACCCAGAGGGATCTGTCCCACCTGACAGTGATCATTCAACATTAACTCAAGCATTCACACACATGTTTATGTAAGTGTTGGGTGCTGGACTTTTGAGGAAAAAGTCTCAGAAATAGACCTCAAGGATGTACTGGTACAATGTGGGGCAAATGGACAGATGATTCCAATACAATGAGTACATGGTGCTCTAGAGGCAGGCACAGCTGGCTATGGATGGACTTCCCAAAGTAAGACTCTTCAAGCTGAATCTCGAAGGATAAAGAGTTGTCCAGGTGAAGAAGCTTAGGGGCTGGGGGTAGGGGGGTAGGGCTGTGGAGGGGATCAGGCATTGCAGGTGGAGAGTGAACTAAGAAGATGGAAAGTATGGACAGTTCTGCTATGCAAATATTTGATTTGGCTGGAGTGAAGTGTTGAAGTAGCAGGGCTGGGGGGCCCAGCAGGAGCAAGATGACCAGGAACTTCGTGGCTATGCCTGGATGCTTGGGTTTTATTCTGAGGAGAATGGGAATGATCTGGCGAAATACGTCCTGCACCGGCTGGAGAATGGGTGATGGGGTTAAGGGTAGGGGAGTGACCCATGCAGAGATAATGGAGGCTGGAGCCAAGGTAGAGATAGTGGGTTTGGTGAGACGTAGGTGGATTTGAGAGAAGAAAGCATGTGCTTTGTTTTCTGGTTGCACGTAGGGGTTGAGTGAAGAGGCAGTACGGAGATGTGCAATGCCCCCTCCCTGAGGTTTCTAATTTGGGTGACTGTGTGGATGGTGATGCCTCTCACTGCAGTAGGGGACTTCAAGAAGAGGAAGAGGGGTTTTGGAGGAAGGTAGAGACATCAGTTATGAAATTGCTGAATTGGAGATACTGGTGATCAGACCTACAGAGGTGGGGTCCAGAGCAGAATTCACTTTGCAGGGGAGGGCTGAAAGAGGAGAGTGGGCAGACTAAAGACAAAAGGACAGAGGCTGGGCTCCAAATCAGTACAGAACAGCCACTACAAATCCCAATCAGGATGTGTGTCCCATCAGAAACCTCATCCCCAAGAAAGCCCCTTCACATTATGGGAAATTATCTCCAGCAGAAGTTATAGGACCTCACTTAAAATCATTAAGTATGAGAGAGAAAGAGACTTAAAGGTTATCTAACTACACTCCTCATCTGAAAAACTAGGATACTGACAAGATACTGAAGCCAGGGAGAAACACCCAGAGGACAGGAAACCAGACTTTCTGACCTTCGAGCCAAAGGTCTGTTCATCCCATCTTGCCTGACTGGGTACTGGAGAAATGCAGTTCACTGGTCCCACTTATTCCCAGAGACATGGCTGGTTGCACAGTCCTCATGCCTGATTGTCTGATGGTCTGAGACAGAACTGAAAGGGCCCAGGGAGCCAGTAGGAAGGGGTCTGAACAGGAATCCAGAGGACAGCTGCAGAAAAGTCTGTGACACAGTCACCGTGTAGCATGTGTGTGCACTGTGTGTGTGCATGTGCTGACTCAATGTTACAACAAGCAGTGTTATTCACTCAGACCTTAGAGGCATGATTGCCCTTCTAGAATTGTTTTAAAAAAACAAACCAAAAAACATAAACAAGCAAAACAGCTTGGTTAATTCCTTCAAAACATATGTTGTGCTGTCACAGAAACATCTAAGGGCAAGTATGAATGGGGTGAAGAAAAGAAAAAGTTGGTCAAAGACTGTTCTCGTGGATGCCCCAAG